TCTTTCCCCCCCCCCAACCCCCTTATCTGACTGGGGTCTGCCATCCCTGTGGGGTCCATAGGCCTTCCCCACCTAGAGACCCCTCCCCTACCCTGTAAGTTTCCTGCCCAGAGAGCCTATCACCCCCCTGTCCTAGGCTGTGCACATGGGCCCAGCCCCCTCCCCCAGGACAGCCCCTGGCCGCTAGGGGGTAGAACCTGGGCTGGACAGTGACAGATGTCGCTTGGTCCAGAGCAGCTCCCCCAGGCGCCTCTGCCCCAGGCTAGCAGAGGGGGCTGTGGTCTGGGCCAGGCCTAGCTCCAGCCCAACAGGCACAGGCCACTTGTTAAGCCCCCAAGGCTGGCAGGTTTGGGGGTGCACTGGCCCCCCATGCCCTTTGCCCTCAGCCTGAAGGCAGGGCGAGGGCACTGGTCTGGGGGGGGCAGGTGCCCCAGGGGCCTGGGGGCAGCAGCTCTGCCGTGGGGGATCTCTGGCACGGCACTAGGAGTCACAGCAACAGTCTGTGCTAGCACACGACTGGGGATGGCGCAGGGCCAACGCTTCCCCAGGCTGCCCTTGGGGTCCATGTCCCACCTTCTGGGGCATCCATCACCACTGGGGGGTAATGAAGAATCCAGACATGAGGCAGTCCCTGGGATGGGGAGACAGGGGTCACCTGTAACACCCAGAGGGGGGTGTACAGGGCAGGGCCCAGGTGACCGGGGGTCCAGCAGAGCCTCTGGCAAGGTTCAGCCCCCTCAGGCAGATGTCTTAGGGTGGACACAGCCTGGCCCCCCCCTCCCCCCCACCTGCATGCTGCCACTCCAGCAGTACAGAGCTCAGCCCAGGACATGCAGGGCCTGAGATGCCTCACAGGATGTACCAGGGCCTGGTGCCGCCTGCCACTCACCTGTGCAGGTGCCTGCCGAGGTTTCCACATCGCCAGGGCCCTGGGCAGCAACCACCACAGGCTCCTCTCCATGCTCCAGGCAGGCTACAACATGGGGCTTGAGGACAGGGACCCCTGCAGAGAGGGAAATACAAGAGGGTGGGGAGGGAGAGCCCAGGTGGCCATGGCCCTTCAGCTCTGCCCTGCCCTTGCCCCAGCCCTGTGTGGAGGGGACAGAGCAGAGCCCGGGGAGAGTGATGGAGTCAGTCACTGAGGCCTATGTTATTCTTGTAGACACCATCCACCCCACTCCAGAGCAGCCCCAGCCCCTGCTTCTGCCCTGCTCAGCTTGCTGCGGGCTGCAGGAACACTGGGGGTGAGAAGAGCCAGGACCCCTTGCTCACAGGGATGTGGTGCAGCAGGAAGCAGGACCTCACCCACTGCTCAGCAGGGGCTAGCGCCATGGGCTGCTCAGGGGAGAAGGGGATGCGGAGGCCAGACTGAGTCCCCCATGGCTGCTCCTGAGGGCCCCAGAAAGACAGCACCTATCCCAATCCCCTGTTGACCTCTCTGGGAATCCAGCCCTGATGCAGGGCACTGTGCACTGGATCTCATATGCTGAGCCATTGAGTCTCCCGCCCCAACCCCCACGCAGGGATCCCAAGACTTTCTAGACATGAACCGGCCTTGCCTAAAGATGCTAGTGCCCGAGACATGCCTGGAGACCCCAGACTGGCCAGCAACTCTCATCCCTGCCCTGAGGCTGGGCTTGCCCCTTACCCAGGGAGGCCAGGTTCTGGTAGGTCTCCAGGGTGGTCTCCCTGTACAGCATGCGCTGGCTCTCATCCAACAGGGCCCACTCAGCTGTTGCGAATACCACGGCAACCTCTGCAAACATCACCGGCACCTGCAACGACACCAGATCCTGTTCTGCAACGCCTGTGCTTGGGGTGTCCAAATGGGGCGTCCACACATGGGGGGCAAGGGCCAGGGTGGCAGGAAGGGGCTGGTGGGAAACATGAGGGGGAAGGGGCATGAATGTTACTGGAGGCAGCGATGGGCTGACCTGCCCCTGCCCCTTGGTGGGTAGCTCATACCAGGGCCAGGAGGGCTCCAGGCCCAGCAACACCACAGCCCTGGGGTTGGGTGACCTAGAGGGCTCTGGGACTGAGCTTGCTGAGGGAGAGCATGTAGCCTACATGCTCTGGAGGATGTCCCACATTCCCATCCCCTCTGCCCCCTCACGAAGTCAGGGCACTCCTCTGGCAGTGGGTTTGGTTTTTGTGATGTGGGAGCCAATGTGTAGGGGCAGGAGGGGCACCAGCCCCTGGAAGCTTCTCTGTGACCCCAGGGGGAAGCCTGGCACCACTGCAGGGGCAACTCTGTTCCACCCGCACCCCCTGCTGCACCCCTCTACCCTCAGAGTTGGGCCTGGGTCCAGGAGCATGGCGCTGGCTCACCCTCCGGCAGTGCCGTAGAAGCTGGGTGCCATGCTGGAAAGCCTTCGCACAGCCAGGGCAGTGGAAGGGACCACTGGCAGTATGTAGGAGGTGGTGGGCAATGAGGTGGGAGGCCTGGCGAAAGCAGCACCCACAGTCTGGGTAGGCATGGGGCTTCTCGCCCATGTGCAGGTGGCAGTGGGTGGCCAGCGAGGAGCTGTGGCGGAAGTTGCGCCCACACACTGGGCAGGCATGGGCCTTCTGGCCCGTGTGGATCCACTGGTGGGTGGTGAAGGCCAAGTGCCTGGCGAAGCAGCGCCCGCAGTGAGGGCAGCTGTAAGGGCGTTCACCTGTGTGCCGGCGCCAGTGGGCGATGAGGTGGGAGCTCTGCCGGAAGCAGTGGCCGCAGTCTGGGCAAGTGTGGGGCTTCTCCCCCTGGTGCAGGCGCCGGTGTGTGGACAGGGATGAGCCGTGGCGGAACTGACGCCCGCAGTCCGGGCAGACATGGGGCTTCTCGCCCGTGTGCAGGCGCTGGTGTGTGGCCAGGTGCGAGCCATGGCGGAAGCAACGCCCGTAGTCCGGGCACGCATAGGGCTTCTCCCCTGCGTGCAGGCGCCGGTGGGTGCAAAGGGACGAGCTGTGCTTGAAGCACTTCTGGCACTGGGGGCAGTGATGCCATGCTTTCCCTTTGGGGGCTGCCCATCCTCTGGGCCCAACCGTCTTCTCCGTCCTGGCCCTGCCAGCCCTGTAGACCCCACTCTGGCCTGTACGAGAAGAGGATGGTGACGTGCTTACTCCCCAGCAGGACAGAGCATGAGCTGCCATGCCCCAGGTCTGTCCTGCCCAGTGTTGGCAACAGGGAGGGGAGGCTAGAAGGGGAAGGGAGTGGGTCTGGGCAGGGTTTCCCCGGCCCTCTCTCCCCTGCAGCCTCCAGCACTGAAGGTCCAGGATGTTCTGGCTCAGAGGCCTCTCACTCCCCCTCAATAGCTCCTGATGCCCCTTTCCTTTGAGAAGAGGCCCAGTCCCTTTCTGGAGCTGGCTGAATCCCCCTTTCATCCTGTGCTGGGTGAGAAAGATTATTAGCATCTTGTAAACCGCTCTCCTATCCCCCCTCCAGCATCTCCTTTCTCACTTGACCAGGCCTGGCCTCCTTAGTCTCTTCCCCTTCAGAAGCCCCTCCACACGGCTTCTCATGAGGGAAGGCTTGGCCCCAGGAAGCCTGCAGCTCCTGTTACTTGCAGAGGAAGAACGGGCAAGCAGTGCCCCGGCAGACCAGGGGGAAGCTGTAGATGGGCAGCCAGAGCCAGGCCCGGTGAGTGGCTGCATAGCACTCAGACAGTGGTGGAGGAGCTGCATGGGCAGCCCTGGGAGCAGTCTTGTGGCACCTGCAGACAGCCTGGGGCATCACCTGCGCAGAAGGGGCAGGGCTCGGGGGCATATAAGCCAGGCCAAGAGCCCAGCACCCGGCCATGCCTGGCACAGCCCATAACCCCGAAATGCCGGTGGCGGAGTGCGGGCATCGCTGCGCCTGGAGCGCCCCGACCAGAGCTCTTCCAGCCTCTCCACGAGCACCTCAGGGTGCAGTGCCCCCTCCCGGGCGCCTCTCCGCGCCGCCGGCTCTGGCAGGGAAGCAGCGCTGGAGCCGCCAAGCCCGCTCCCAGCCCGGACCTGTCGGGGAGAAGAGTCCTGCGGCACCCCCAACCCGCCAGCCCGGGCCCGCGCCCTGCCCCGGAAAACTCCCTGCAGCGCTCGGCCCGCGGCTCCCGGCGAGGGGCTCTGGCGGGGGCCGCGGCAGCCGCCCCGTTATTGCCCCC